TCAGTGTTAATATAATTTATTTTGCAGAGGGAATGTCAGGGAGTCTGTGATGATTCTCTTTACCCTTCTGTCTGCCTTCCAGGTCCATGTTAATCCCTCCCAGTCGGTGCTGGTGCTGGAGGGGGATGACGTAGAGAGCTTTAACCGGGCCGTGCAACAGGTGACGTACAGGAACTCGCTCCGGTTCGCCACGCCGGGAGTCAGGCCCCTGAAACTGGCCACCTCCCTCAGGTGCGATCCCCGTCTTTCATCACATCCAGCTCCTCTGCCTCTCATCCTGGTCCTGTTTCCCCGGAGCCCAACCCCTGAGACCCCTCGTCTCTCTTCAGTCAGCACTCTGCCTCTCTGCATTACCTTCTTTCCTCCGTCTCCCTTGATTTCTGACCTGTCTCCTCCCTCCATCTTCCTTGATTTCTGACCTGTCTCCTCCCTCTATCTTCCTTGATTTCTGACCTGTCTCCTCCCTCTATCTTCCTTGATTTCTGACCTGTATCTTCCTTCCATCTCCCTTGATTTCTGACCTCTGTCCTTGGACGGATCCCAGCGTTGTCAATAGCCAGTCTTAGGCAGACACATTTGCAGAGCTCATGAGGAGAGCCGATCAGCTGAACTCTTGTCAGAATTCAGCTGTAAAACGTTTTCTCGCCTCTGGCTTCTTTCTTGCAATTTTTTTTAACATCATCTAAGCAGCGTGACAAGCTGCTAGACTAGGTGGCTAGATGATTGAGGTGCGACGATAAATATGGAGTTCATCAGCTTACAAATGAAAGCCCTGCTTTGCTGCTGTACACAGTGGAAAACCCCCTATTGCTGTCTGTTGTAGGAAGCCCCTGTCGGTCCCTATCAGCTGAGTGTCTATGGTAACCCCTCTGTCTCTCTCTCAGGTGTTTCAGTGAGGAGGGCTGCCTGTCTCTTCGGCCCTTAGAAGGATACCTGGTGGTCCTGCAGCCGGATGCCCCCCAGATCTCTCTGTCTGGCGGGGGACACCTGGTCCGGCCGGTCGGGGATTTCGAGGCGGCCCGGGGGGTCGCCCTCTTCCCCGAGCTGAGGATCACGTGTTCCCTCTCCCACTCCATCAACACCGCGGCCGAGGGGATGGAGGGAGGAGGTGAGGGAGGGAAGTGGGGCAAGAGGGCAAGAAGGAAGACATCTGTATTTCCACGAGAAGAGATGGGGAGGTTGGGGGGGAGGGGGGGGGTTTGGGAGATGGATGGAGGGAGAATCCAAAGGGATCTCTCGGCAGAGAGCGGGAATGAGAAGAAAGAAGAGGGGAGGGTGCAGGAGTTAACGTCTGTCTCTCTCTCTCCCTCTCACACACAGCCCTGATGTCAGATGCTGTTGCCCACACTCTGGATGGGTGTGAGGTGTCCCCGGTGGGGGAGGAGCTTGACCCCGAGAGGGAGGAGCTAGTCCTGGAGGCGGAGTCAGTGAGGGAGAGGGGGCTGGAGCTCACCAACACTACGGCGTACATCGCACTGACAGGTGCCTGTCTCGTCCACTCCCCTCGTCTGTGTCACGCCCTCCTTGCCACTCTCTCTTGTCTCCTGCTAGGGTGTCTGAGTAACCCCTCCTCCTCCCTCTCGCTTTATCTTATCCCTCAGGCCCAGAGTCCATCTCTGTGTATGAGGACGTGTTGCGCTCCCTGCGGTACCGGCTGGCCCGTGGGTCGGCACTGTTTGAGAGGAGGTTCCGCCTGTCCTGCTCGGAGATGAATGGGCGATACACCAGCAACGAGCTGACTGTGGAGGTTAGAGAGGCTGAGCGGCAATGGGCAGGAAATAGACAAGGGCAGACAGTGGGATGAAAGATGGATTTGTTGATGGGGGCGACAAAGAGACCGAAAGAGAAGATGTGTGCAAATAAGGTTGTAGGTGTGTCTTTAGGGCCTATGTTAGGGTCTTTATTAATCTCTCTGTGTTAGGTGTGTCCGTAGGGTCTATGTTTTGGTCTGTATTAATCTCTGTGTGTGAGGAGTGTCTCTAGGGTCTATATTAGGGTCTGTATTAATCTCTATGTGTGAGGAGTGTCTCTAGGGTCTATATTAGGGTCTGTATTAATCTCTATGTGTCAGGAGTATCTCTAGGGTCTATATTAGGGTCTGTATTAATCTCTATGTGTGAGGGGTGTTTCTAGGGTCTATATTAGAGTCTGTATTGATCTCTGTGTGTGAAGGGTGTCTCTAGAGTCTATGTTAGAGTCTGTAATAATCTCTGTGTGTGAGGGGTGTCTCTAGGGTCTATATTAGGGTCTGTATGAATCTCTCTCTGTGTTAAAATATCTCTGTAATCTCTATTAGGGTTTATATTAATCTGTCTGTGTTAGGTGTACCACTAGTGTATGAATTGCCTGTTAAATGTATTAACTATTGATTTTTAAATGCTTGTCTCACTTTGTTATTCTGATCGGTCTTGTTTTTCCTATAGTTTAAAATATTGGGTGTTACCCATCTTGTCAGTTTGATTGTGTTGTGTTGCCCATAATTGTCCACAGTATGCTAAATCAGGTCTCTCTAGTGTGATAGTGTCACAGCCTGTCTCTCTCTCCCAGGTGAATTTCTTGCACTCCCTGGATGGCCTGTCCCACCCCTCTCACCTCCTAGCCTCTCAGCAATTCCTGCACCCCTCTCGTCACTCCGGAGAGCTGGCTGGGCACACTCTGGCCCACGCGCATCGCAACTCAGGTAACACCACTCCAAAAAGTGATAGAGATCACTAAGGTGCAGGATGTAAGCTTTAATAACAGAGGAAACTGTCAAACCCAAAAGCGTTTACTCAAGAGAGCACTCTGGAGAACTGGCTGGCAGTCAGTCTTCCCATTATCCGGAAGAACCATGTCCCATTCTGCTACAAAAACTCAGAGATGTCCCATTGAGCTTAAGCCTTCACACACAGTCTTCCACCTGTGCTTTCATCAGCAACCAGCACTAACCACCCTCCCCAACGAGGCACCAGGGTCTTCTACACTAGATACTGGGGTGTCAGACCCGAGTGAGGGCCCTGCAGTTCAGCCACGGCGGGATTTTCACTCTCACTCCTCTCTCCACTCCAGTCAGCAGCCAACTCCCTAACTCTCTTGCTTTCCCCCCGTGCAGTGGTGCCAGGTGCCGCCACGGTGATCATCGTGGTGTGCGTGGGCTTCCTGGCTCTCATGGTCGTGCTCGGGATCTTCCGGATCCGCTCCATCCATCGCCGGAGCGACGGGCAGAAGGGCGGGGCCAAAGAGGGCGGCAGCGAATGGGACGACTCTGCTCTCACCATCATAGTGAACCCCATGGAGGTACAGAGATCAATGATAACAGAGCTGTAGAGTGAATAACACACAGAGATCAATGATAATAGTGCTGTAGAGTGAAAAACACATTGAGATCAATGATAATAGTGCTGCAGAGTGAATAACACAATGAGATCAATGATAATAGTGCTGTAGAGTGAATAACCCACTGAGATCAATGATAATAGTGCTGCAGAGTGCATAACACACTGAGATCAATGATAATAGTGCTGCAGAGTGCATAACACACTGAGATCAATGATTATAGTGCTATAGAGCGAAAAACACACTGAGATCAATGATTATAGTGCTGTAGAGTGAATAACACACTGAGATCAATTATTATAGTGCTGTAGAGTGAATAACACACTGAGATCAATGATAATAGTGCTGCAGAGTGAATAACACACTGAGATCAATGATTATAGTGCTGTAGAGTGAAAAACACACTGAGATCAATGATTATAGTGCTGTAGAGTGAA